ATATATATTAAAAAAAAGAAAATGAAATGCCTCGGCTTGGCCACTCTCTGGATAACAGGCAAACTCTTTTGTGTTGGACTTTTGTTACAAATTGAGCAGTCCAATTTTATTTTATTTTATTTATTTATTTTTTTTCTATCTGAGATCGTATTATGGCATAAACAGATCAATTTATTATATTCATTTTTACGTCCAGCCTCCAGAGTCACCCCTCCTTTTATCCAGTAGCTCACAATAAGAGGAAATCAAAAACAATGCAAGTATTTGATTTTTTTTAATTTTTTTTTTTTTTTTTGTAGTAAATATGAATCTATATGATGATGTGTTACCAAAAATAGACACTTACTGCCGTAAGGAGAGTTAGCTGAGGAGCCATTAAGAAATCCAGGGGAACCTGGGACACCTAGATTGGGCATGCCGGCATTGCCATATCCATTCATGCTATTGCTGACTGTGTTGTAATTGGACTGCTGAGGAGTACTGCTGGGAACATATCCTCGCGGGGAAACACTGCTTGTGTTGCGACTGTAACCTACTGTGTTAGAAACCCCCCCACCCCAAAAAAATCATGTTATTTTATAATATAGACTTAGGGCTGGGGGGTTTCCTCATGCAGCATATATTACACAGTTTTAATTGATTGCACAGCTTTGCTCTGAGTTGTCTCTTACTGCCCTATCAACTCTTGCAGGTTGAGATAACCTTATCACGCCAACCCTACTTAAATCATCTGCGAGCACTCTATGTTGTCTCTCCTCTTAGCACAGACAGCCAACAAAAGCTCTCTTCGATCCAGCTGTGTCAGGTGCCTTCACGTTTGTCTTTAGGAGCAATTATCAACAGGCTCGAGTCCTGCTTTGTACCAACACACTGAATGAACTTTCAGCCTCTCCAGGCCTTCAAATGCCATAGCTGATGAGAAAAAAATATAAACTTTTTCTTGTTGTTGTTGTTGTTGTTGTAGTGATTTACTTTTAAAAGGCTGTTTTGGGGTCTTCATTTTGTGACTGATATTTTTATATTACCAATAAGCTTGTACTTTCGTAAGGTGTAGCCATCAGTGAAAACTAATTCGAGATCAAGTACAGAATTTTATAAGGCTTATTAGCTTGGAAATGCATTAAAAGACAATCTTTTTAGAAGAGGAAACATAGCAGAATCAGGATTTTCAACAACAATTTGTTCCTATCTGAGCAATCAATTTAATAATTACGTTGCAAGCAAAAAAATATGGGTTTGAACAAAGCTAATAATCCTGTTTCCCTCCTTTCATTAGTATCAAAATTAATTTTAAATGCAATATGCCACATGCATTTTCAATTACAACAGGTAAATTAAATCAACGATTACTTTTATTAGTAACATATATGTCACACATGCCTATAAACAAAGTATTTTAAAATCACAGACATCAAATTAGATTTATCTGTGTAAATATTCCAAAAGCAGGTGGAGATACCTAGACATAATTATTTTATAATAAACATACACGTTGTATATTTACTGTGAATCATAAAGAGCTTTCTATACTTTGTTTTTTGTTGTTGTTTTTTTTTTTCCCCACCAGAGATACTTCACGATAACAGTAAATGAAAGAACAGGAAGAATTAAATATTACAAGAAAAGTGAAAGACGGCATTTCATTAGGGGATCAGACATACGACTACGGGGAGCAAAAGAGGTAGAACACAGCGGTGGCAACAGCTCGGATTAATAGGCACTGGCCAAAAAAAGCAGTCAAGGAGGTGAAGGATTAACTCTTGAAATCCCACATACCTTGGTCGTTCGCTTGCGATGTTTCGGACACGTTAACGGCGAGCTGGCTGCTGAAGGAGTTCACCCCCATCATGCCAGTGTGAGCAGGAGTGTTGGCGAGAGTGGGGATCTGGTTGTGGTTGCGGGGCACGCTGTACAACGCTTCAGCAATGTCAGCTGCTCGTTTCAGGATTATTTCCTAGAAAGATAGAAAATGAGCACTGACAAGGAAGGAGTTGATTTGAGCAAATCTTAAACGTTAAAATTTACAGAAGAGATTTATGGGAAATGATGGGAAGTGTGGGGATTTTGCTGCTTGTTCCAACTGAACCTTCTCTTTTCCTTCCTACACACTATGCAATTTCACATCAACATGGTTAAGTATAAAGAAATAAAGGAATTAACACAAAATCAGGGTTTCGCACTGTAAGCCATGTGAAAATCGTACAGGTGTACTTTATTCATCCAGGGCAGTAGATGAATTTCCAGCAGTTTTCAAAACACAGTATGTTTTATCCGCTCTGTTTAGCAGATTTCTTTAGGACTTCCCATTAGTCACCATATATTTTGGCCCGAGTTCAAGGCTATTCTCTTGCCTTAATGATTGCTGATGCTTTTGGCACCTTACACTTCATTGTCATTTCTGATAGGCGAACTAACCGGGGGAAAAGAATGGGAAGATGAAGCGTTTCCCTCAGAGCACTGCATCCCACCAGACTGCCCTCAGGGTGGCTGGCAAAGCCAG